ATTTTGGGTTTTGAGACTGTTCTTTATCTCCAATCAACCCTAAGCCAATGCTTGGGCCAGTGAAATGAGGAAAGGGGCATCAGCCATGTCTAATTCTCCTCTCTCCTTCTCTCACCAGGGAAAGCAGGGCAACTCTCAACCTCGTGAAAATGTCTGAATGCTAAGTCTGTGCTGGACTTTAGCCCAAGAAGACAAACTCCCTTCCATGTGTCTTCCCCTGGGCTGACCTTCCCTAGTAACATCCCTTCAGTCCGCCTTGTTTCCTTAGCTCCTGAAACACTTGTTCAATAAACTGACTTGGCAACATTCCTCTGTCTCAATGCCACATCTCTTCCCTTTTGCCTCATCTCTTCCCTGTCACAGTACTTTGAGTGGTGGATGTGTTTTTCTATTGATGTTTTTCACTACCAGCTAATGTGGATAGAATTTTCTTGCCATGTGTCAGTGCCAGCCCTGCTCTGATGAGGACCTGGGCTCCCCTTGGAGCTCTCAGTCCTTTCCTTACTCCTCAATCTTCTTGTCAGTGTTAATCTTCTCAAACCATGACATCTCTGTGTGACCTGGCCACAGAGTCCCTCTCTACAGTCAGCGCAAGGAGACATTTACCTCCAGAGCATGGTCCACCTCCTCCACGGGGAAATGCTGAGGATGTAGGTGGTGATTTGCTCTTGAGGAGAGCACTTTTTTGCTTGGGCTAGGAAGGGGAGTTGGCTGCCTGGGCAAGAGATTCCCTGTGCTCATTCCCACTGCCTGTGGAGCCTGTCCCATGGCAGAGACAACAGCTGTGGCCAGGAAAGAGGATCCCAGCCTGCCTCCACCGGATTTGTCCACAATGTCAAGTGCAGTTTAAGGATATAATCTACCGGAGGGGAATCTTGAGCTCCATTCATGAGTGACAGACAGCAGAAGTGTCTACTCATGAAGTATCTTAATTTATTAATGCAGAATATCTCCAGGACTGGTGGGCTGTGATCACCCCTGAGGCATGGGACAGCCCTGGTGCATCACTGAGCTGCTTTCTAAAGTCATTTGGGAAGGAAAAAAAGATGCAGAGGTTCACTTGTGACCAGTTTTAACCAAATATATAACAAGCCATAGGAAAAAAATTCTGCCTGATTGTCATTTTGCCTTCTTTTTTGAAGCCAAGTTGCTCAGGACCCGGTGACATAATTATTGTCATTGTGGTGGTCTGTGTGGGTGGCAGGGAGGCAGCGGGTCCTTGGGGCTGCCCTTCATCTGTTGGCTGAGCCATTGCCTCCACACGAGGTCACCAAAGCTATTGCAAGTCTAATATTTCAGGGATTCTTCTGGACTGCAGTTAGTGCCTCCCTGATTCAATGTCCCATTGTAGCTCACCAGAGAATAACACAATTATTTGGATCAGTTTGGAAAGTCACTCTTTGAATTGCTGGGCTAGAAGAATAGGCTGAAGGCAAATGTTCCTGATTTGGAGGTATTGGGGGTATTGTTCCAGGGAAAGAGGCCACAGTACCTCTGTGCCATTAGTGTCCATTTTCAGGATGATTTGTAACTAACAATGGCTTATTGTACTTTTCTTGGGTCTGTGTCCTAAAGTAAACGTTCTTTTGGTTTATATAACCTTTTTGCCATTTTCTGCTCAGGTGTTTTTGCAGAACATGCTGTTTTACTCCTGTTTAAGTGTTACTTGGTTATCCTCAGGGATAAGACCTGGATATTTTTTTTTCTTGTGGACTTTGGCAGCCTTTCACTTGGACTGTGCTCTGACTGCTGGCTTTTGCAAGCCTTTGCAGTAAAGCTGTCAAGAGCCAACTCAGTGGCATTATCTTGGCACAGCTAAAGCCTCCTCTGTGCAGCTCATTGTCTGGTGACACCAAAGGCAAACAAGAATTCAAGGAGGCACGAAGTTGAGATTAAGTCAGAGCCATCCAAGGAAGCAGCCAAAGGGGTTAGAGGATGGAGGTTTCCACACAGGACTCACCAGTAGGTTTCATGTCAAAGTACATAATGGAATAAATCACTAAAACTGGGCCAGGAAATGGGAAAAGCCTGACATTGGAGTTTAAATATCCCCCAGGCTCAGGGGGTGTTTTATGAAGCAATATAACTATAAAAATAGGGCAGCCTTCTCAGGGACAGCATGGTTTTCTGTGCCTTGGAGTTATTTTTCAGCTGTTCCATGGTTACTTACTGAGTGTGTGTTACTTAGATGATTTTTTTCTGCTTTGTATTGGAAATGGCCTCAAGTTGCACCAGGGGAGCTTTAGATCAGATGTTAGGAAAAATTTATTCATAGAAGGGGTTGTCAAGCACTGGAAGAAGCTGCTCAGGGAAGTGATTGAGTCAGTGACCCTAGAGATATTTATAAGATGCATAGATGTGGTGCTTCAGGACATGGCTTAGTGGTGGCCTTGGCAATGGTAATGCTTGGACTTGATGATCTTAGAGGTCTTTTCCAACCTAAACAATTCTGTGATGAGGCGAAGACAAGCACATTCAAGAAGGAACATTGACTTTTTGTGGCTTAGGAGAGAGGCAGAAAAATACCAGGTTTCAAGTGCCCCTCCCCTAAGAGACTTGAAAGGTGGTGTCGAGGCACAGTGGACCGAGCTGGGCGCCTGCTTGGGCGCAGACAGAGGGATGGGTGTGTGTTTCTGTTTCCCACCACAGTAAGAAGTGACAGAATAGTTAAAGTTGGAGGGCATCTGGTCCATCCTCCCCAGTCAAGAAGTCCCCAAGCACCTTATAAGCTCTGCTTGCCAAACTGCAAACAGCAGCCATCGCTGTGTGGGTGACAGATGCTTTAGTGCTGCTCCATCCCTGCTCAGGTGCAGGATGCTGCAGAGCACTGGGGCTTTTTTACTCAACTTGAGCTGCCTGAGCAGCTTCAGAATAGTCAGGTTTGTCTCAAAAACCATTCCACAGTCATTCTGGGAAAGCTTGGTTACTAACCTGGAAAGGAGCACTGAAAGGATCAGATACAAGCACGGACTTAGTCCTGCTTTGGTGGACTCTTATTTTTGCACTCTTGCCATGAACAGAAGCATTATATCCTCAGTCAAGGATGAAGTGAAGGGGAAAAAAATGACTTTGCAGAGCCTGCTATGGCTGCAGGATGAGGCATCTGAAATGCAGCTGGTGCCACTGCAGACGCTGCCTGGCAGCCGCAGCTCTGGGCAGGGGGATGGAGCTGCCAAGGCTGGACCAACTTTGACGTGTTTCACACTGATGCTGATCCAGCCTCAGGATCTGTGACCCTAAATGTACCAGAACACATCACAGAGGCCGTGTTTTAAAAATATAAACGTCCTCTCTCTTTCCGTGTTTGTCTGACTTATCTTTATAGCGTTATCAATGTTTTCTGAGTCTACAGTCATTTTTCTTGCAACACAAAGAGGGGGAAGAATGAGGCAAATCATTTAAATTTTGATTGATAAGTGGAATGTAGAAAACAATACTTAGTCCTTTCATATTGAGCTGGGAATTTTTTTTTTTTTCATCTTTTATCAGCACTCACACATCTGCAACTTGAAAAAAAGCCTCACAACCTTTCCTTGAGCGTGGCTGTACCTAAACTCCCTTCAAACCCATTATCTAAAAATCTGTGCCTTTCAAAATTTTGTCTGCTGATAATTTGCCTTGGTTTAGCTATTTTTTCATGTGCTGCATTTGTTACTGAGGCATGTGGATGGGCTCAGACACTCTGTCACTCTCTTGAGGGATGCTGGAGAGTGACAAGGCTCATCCCACTGATTTTTAAATATTCATTTCAGAAGAATATTTAAACTATTTTTAAAGCATTTTTATAACCATATGTTCCTCAAAAAAAAAAAAAAAAAAATCCAGAAATAATTATTCAAACTCATTGTATCAATTGCACCATCCTATTTAACTGACAGTTGGCAAAGAAAATAGTTTGGGAACTTAAAAGATTTCTTTGGACCTCTGTGTTTAAAAAAATATATAGCCCTGTTATGCACCCATTTCATCCATCAATATGTTCACACTCAGACATGTTCATTCTCTGGCTGCAATTTAATGTTTGATACAGTTTTATTTGATTCTTTGCCATGCCCTGGGCTCTAGTTTCGTGCTCTCCACGGATCAACGAGTAGAGAGGCAAAAAGCAGAGAGCAGCAGTGGAAGGAGCTTCTCTCCAGCTGGCAGATGTCCACACAACCCAGGAGGGGTTTCCACATTTCCACCAGCTGAGGTGAGGCCCCGTGATTTTAAACATAACATGAAACTGCAAAGAATGAGTGTGCTGCTTCCTGCCTGTTTTTCATGCCTAGAAGTAAAATGTTAATTTTGTTCGAGCCCCCTGAAGGATGAGGAATGTTTGGATGCATTGCTTTGAGCTCTTTCTTGCATTCCCTTTAAAGCTGGGCTGCAGCCCGTGCCCCAGGGCCATTGCTGAGGATGGCCAGTCAGGGCCCCCTGACCAAGTGCTGGAGCAGATCTGTGGCACAGATGGTTCCACTTACACCAGTGAATGTGGGATCTGTGCCTATAAAGTGTCATTCCAATGGAAGGAATATGCTTTCTGAGTGACAGTTCCCTAGCCCCTGGCCTCTCCTTGTGCTTTTCCAATTTATCCTCCTTTTCTCCGTCTCCACTTGCTGTTTTTGCTTGGGGGTAAATCATGAAGATTTAGCTGAGAAAAAAAAAAATAGCTGAAAAAAGTATCTGGGGTGGAAATTCAAATGATGCAGCACATTCAAATGGGAGATAGGTTTATAATAGTCAGAGACAGTAAAACCACTTCATTGTTGGTGATTAACTGGGGTGATCTCTCCATCACTTGCCTCATTTGGGAGTTTCGTGTACATTTCCAGCACTCGTGTCCCTTTGGGAAAATGGCCACACCGAGTCTCTAATGGCAGACTTTCCCTTCCCCAGAGAACGTGGGGCACTCAGGGCCTTGGGAAGAGCAGTTTCCCCAGTGACTAAGAAGGAAGGCACAGGAAGGAGCAGCCTGAACTCCCATTGCTCTCCGTGGCAGCATCCCAAGCGGTGTCAGCCGGATGCTGAGCAGGCAGCGCAGGGTTGGACGTAAGTGATGCACACACCTTCTGTTGACATTTTATTTGGCAGTGATTTAACACGAGCTTTCTAATATTGCTGTTCTCCACAGGCTGCATTCCAAAGTAGGAAGGGAAGGAGGGCAAAATGATGCAAAATATGAGACAAGTAGGAGAAATATTTCTTTGCTATAGAAGCATTCACAAACAACCTCCACTGACAGCAGCAGGAAAGTGCAGAATAACATGTTTCAAGACCAGAAAAGGAGGCACACAAAGCCTTTGCAGAGATCAATCATTCAGTTCTCCTGGGAGAAGAATGTTTTGTCAGATTGCAAATGGGGCAGTGCCCAAACCATGGGATGTAGGGGCCCTATGATCATGTATAATACAGCAGTTGCCATGCATATATAACTTACTAAGTAAATACCTGTTTATTTTGGGTTACTTTTCTACTGCAATAGTTCAGAGAGGGTAGAATTCCTGCTGTCTACCTCAGTTTTACTATAAAACAGTAAAATCCTGTAATTGGACATCCTGTGCCCTTCTGTCAGCACCAACTGCGTTTCACCCATGTCCAGATGCAAAGAATCAGTCAGTGGTCTCATTAAAGCTCAGCTTTGCAGAATAAATGAAATTGTTGCCCTTTCTTCTGATGTTAATAATGAAGATGTGTTCAGTGGTTAGGATGCTAATAGTCCTTCAGCAATAGAAATTCTTTCCATCCAGTTCAGCCTCTCCCAGCCAAGTGCTGAAGCTATGGCACCGTGATATATCCTGCCTCTCACCCTCTCCTCCCTGCTGTTCCCACCAGGAAGAGCAGTGAATTTTCATTCTGAGCCTATTGCACCTACCTCTTGTTGCTGCTTTATTTACAAGATCATTCTTAAATACCAAACTCTCATTTATCCCATATCCCAAGGGCTCCTGGTTTTATTCCCATACAGGAAAGCAAGCACCTTCACTTGTCTTTTCCAAACAGTATTCCTTATATGCATTTTTGCTGGTTTGTTGGTTGATAAGATGAGACCTGGGGGCATGTTTTTGTTTGGTGCTCTGCTTGCTTCTGTTCTGCATCATCCTGTGGTTTCACATGGAAAAGGAGTTTTGCATGGGGATGTGATCCCCTGATTTTTTCTTGGGGCAGAGTGATGCCTGCAGGTAACAGTGGCTGTCCTGATTGCTTCCACATGGGATTTGTGCAGGGGAACATACCCTTGAAATGTTTATCTAACTTTACCTCCCCTTTACAACAATTCCTCTGCTACATGTCACTGTCTGTATATAAACTTCTTCCCCCCTGGTTCCCCCAAGTTGGGCAGAGCCTCAGCCCACCCTGTTCTGAGCTCACATGAAGCAAATCCCAGACCTGGACCCAAAGGGCACAGTTACAGACTTATGGATGATTGCAGACATGGTGCTGGTCCAAAAGCCCTGAGTCTAAGGCTTTGGCCATTTACCCAGGGAAATTCTCCCTTGGTTACCTCCTTCTCTGTGCAAAGCTTAGGAAAGTCACTCCTTCTGGACTCTGATCAATTGCATTTACAGCCAGACCTGCCCAATTCCCCAAATTGTGTGTTACTTCCAAGAGGAAGGAGATGTAAACATTGAAGGTTAATTACCCTCTTGTCAAGAACACTTTGTGATCTATAGACATATCTGTCAATCTTACAAAACAGAACTGAGGGGAGTGAGCACTGGAGGCATGTCCCCACGATAAATTAATGAGACTTGGCAGCTCAGTGTGAAGAGATGATCCCTGTGCTTCGTGTGAGACAATAACCTGGCTCCCCAGCCAGCCTGGCCGCAGGTTCTGTGCTGCAGTCACATCCGGGATGGTTATCCCTCTGTAAACAAACTCTGCAATGCAGCTGTCCAGGGATCAAACCATCTTCCTTGAGGCTTTCACTTTCCTCTCTGCTGCTCAATGTGCAGCAAGTGCTCATCTCAACCACACTAGATCACTTTTCCCAGCCCTGCCTGTCAGTCAGTTAAAATATCTTAGTCCTGCTCTCTGCCTCTGTGGCTGTGACACTCCTTGGTGGGACACAGCCACAGTCCCCCTGCTCTGTGCTATTCTGGTGATGTGAGGGCTGCTACATGACTGGTAGTTTGAAAATGTGTTCAACTATTCCCCTGGTTTATATAACCTCAAAGCAATTTGCTTTCATAGCTGAACATGCTTATTCGTTCTATTTTAACTGTGCGTTGAGCTATAAATAATGTCTCATTGCAGATAAGAATCTATTGAATTTTATTATTTGTTATTCTACCTTTGGAAGATTTTCTCCTGCAGGAGACTTTCCCAGCCTGGCAGTGAAGTTGCCTGATTGACTCCGTCCTGCCAGGCAGCCATGAATGGTGTCAGCCCCAGGTCAGCTGCCACTTCCCTGCAGCCACCTCCTCATTGCTCCTGCCTGGGCTGTGGCAAAGATGAGACGAGTGCTCAGTGAGGCAGAGCTGAGATCACTGAAGTGTTAGGGAAACTGATTAAAGCAATGATTTCCTGTTCCTCTGATCAGCTGCAGGTTAATACCTCTGTGTTACCTCCAGCCCACCTTCCCTGCAGTGCATTCACTTCCAAGAGCAATAACCTGGGTCAGTGTCCAGCCAAATTGTGTTGGTTGCTGCCTCCTTTTTCTGATGTTCATTGTAGCTTTGTGCTGCTTCCTCATGAGTGACTCCTGCCTCTGCAATGGAGCCCTGGCCTGACATCCTTATCACCCAAAAACTTCTCAGAGCTGGAGCAGAGGACAGGCTGGGGAGGTGAAGGGTGGAGCTGTGTCCTCAGAGCTGCTGCTGCTGCTGACACCCAGGTCTGGTCCAGGCTGCAGCACAGCAGGGAAGTGCATGATATTTTGGCAGCTGATTTTCTGTGGTGCAGATAACTTTTCTTGAGATTCAAATGCTGATGCTCTTCTGGAGAAGGGTTGTGGTGGCAAAGTGCTGGGCTCATGCAGAAGTGAGGAGACTTTGAAATCATTGGGAGCTAATAACATATTAAAATTTGGATGGTTTATTGTGTGGCTTTATTTTAAGAATTATTATAATTACAATTTCTGATGTACATGGTACTGATCACCCCCTGTAATAACATTCTGGGAGCTCTTTGTAGAGCTTACCTGTGACCCTTTAGTAAAGGCTGGAGGAAAATTCTGAGAAGACTCTCCTGGGTCATAGAGTAATGTGATTTATTTTATTAATAACAACTATTTATAGGAGAGAGAATTATATAAGTACAATATAAATAAACTAATTCAAGTTGTAAGAGCTCTCCAGAGGTCTCTGGCTCAAGCCTTGATCAAAGCAAGGCCAAAGTCAAAGGCAGGTCAGGATGCCCAAGCCTTTCTTTTTTCAGTTGTGTTTTCAATAGCACTGAGGAAAGACATGCATGGCCTCTCTGCTTTCTGTGCTTGATCATCCTCATGACAAGGAATAATTCCTCACATTCATTCAGAATTTAATCCTTTTGCCATACAGCTTAGAGAAGGCTCTGGCTCTGCCTTATCTCTAACCCCACCAGGGAGCTGCAGACAGCAAGGTGATCCCCAGGACCATCAATTCTCCAGGATGAAGAAGCCCAGCTCCTTCAGCTTTCCTGGAATGCCCTGTGCCCCTGTCGCTGGGTAACCTGCCTGCCTCTGCTGGATTTGTTCCCATGTGTCAACATCTGCCCTTGTAGTGGGGCCAAACACATTTAATTCATTGCATAAGTAATGTGAAACCATGTTAGCCTTCACCTGCAGGGTACAAAGTTCTGCACATGGTCTTATTAGCTCAGGAAAACATCCACTGGCATTACCTGGATCAAGTTCTATTTAATAAGTTCTTAAACACATGGATATGTTTTGATAGGGAGATGTTTTTAATCATATCAGTGATTTTGTTTGCTTTATTGCTCAGTTCAAGTGAGGCCTTCAAGCACTGGGTAAGAGGCAAAGCTTCCATTTGTGCTGGACTGGTTTCTCCAGGCATGTGGCTCAGTGCAAGCAGTTATTTGCCACACTGTGGCCAAAAGAAAGCCAGAGATGAAAACTGCAGCCTGAAATGTGTTTAGCAGGAATTTTGCAGAGATTAGAGGCATTTTCATGAAAGAGCTGCAACCTGTGGGCATTTCCCACTTTTACAGCAGTTATTTGTTAATTGAATAATGTGACAAACCCCAGGAGTGTTTAGAAAAGTGTATTAAATGATTTGCCATTTATTTATCAATGTGTTATTTATGCTGAGAAGTTGCATATCTGCTAAGAAAATTCTTCACCCTCAGTTTTGATTCTTTCAGAGAATATGAAATCGATACTGAAAAAAAAACCTGTAATGGGAAATGTAAAACAAGAAATTACACGAGTAAATCAGAGAGGATGTTGTATAATCCTGCCCTGGTGTCAGCATACAGACTTCATGGTGCTCAGGACCATAACAGGCAGCACCCTGAGGTGTGGCACTGCCTTTGCTTACCTGCGGATTAAAGATTCATAGAATTTTTGGGTTTGGAGGAGACCTTAAAGATAATTTTGGTCCAACCCCTCTGCCATAGGCAGGGACATCTTCCACTATCCCAGCTTGCTCCAATCTCTGCCCAGCCTGGCCTTGCAGACTTCCAGGGATGGGGCAGCCTCAGCTTCCTCTGTGCCAGGACCTCCCAGTAAGGAATTTCTCCCTAATACTTAATCTAAATCTAGCCTCTTTCTGCTTAAAGTCTTTCCAGTCCCCCTTGTCCTATCACTTCATAGCTCTTGTCCAAAGTCCATCTCCAGCTCTCTTGTAGGCTCTCTGCCCTCATGCTGGCTGCTGCACACAGAGGATTTTCCTTTAGCCAAATGGTCATTAGCCATATGCTGCATCTGACTTTGAGGATTAGGAGACCATAATGAAGTGGATTACAGCAGATCAGTGGCAGGATTGCAAACCAAATCCTGTTTCTAACTGTTCTTCCAGGAGCAGCTAAGGCCTGAGCGACCTGTCCTGCAGCATGAGTTTAGCCAGCTGTGGGATTTTTCCACGCTGTTATCAGAGCTGGGATAATCTGGAGCTGCAGCCCTGGGTGGGGAGGCTGTGGATGCTGAATGGCTGCAGGCTGTGCAAGTGTCTGAAACCTGGGGACTTCTGGGTGTCTCTTCTGTGGCTCGTCCAGGGGGTACCTGAGGGGCTCAGGTGTTCCCCAGTCACCATTTAATTATTGCAGACTTGTGTCTCCCTGAAGTGTCTGTAGGTGAGAGAGAGAAAGAAAGATCTGCTGCACATCCAACAGGCATTGTGGTCAGAGAAAATCTGAGTTGCCTGGGGCCAGTGCCAGACGTAGTGCTGAACCCAGGAGTTGAAGTGGAAAAATTTTCTCTGGTGTAACACGAGCCAGACTTCGGCAGGAAGCTGCTCTCCACTCATCAGGAGAGGTTGGTCTTGCCCAAAGGACAGCACTGTCCAGGGGTGGGACTGCAAAGGCTGGTGAGGATGATTTGGAGAGGTCTTGGCTGGAGGAGGCAGTGGCCAAGTCCATATTTAACCCAGAAAGATGGAGTACCTCCAACTCTGCAGAGCCTGCACAGGTAAAAGCAGCAGCTGTGACACGTAGGGAGCAGCTCCTGTAACTCCTGCACATGCTCAGGGAAAAGTGTTTGGCTTCCAGAGATGCTGTTCACAAGACACATCAGGGCAATATATCCTGAAGATGTGCCAAATCTGTCTGAAATATTCATGCATGCTCCCTGTAATTTATAGAAACAATCACAGCAGCATAATTATTTCAATGCTTCTCCCTGTGAAGAATCTCATCTCTTGGATGTGAAAATGTGACCTGCATATCCACACAGCCGTGCTGTGGCCTTCTGGGCATGACAGGAGAGATGATTCCATGCACTATCCAATATATCCATGTAAGGATCAAAATATACCCTTCAGACTCCTGTGGTGGATCAGACAATAACACATTTGCTTGGGGTGAATTTCAATTATTTCAGATGAATTTCATTTGTCTAATGGGTGGTGCCTGGTTCATTAAAGACAGCAACTATAAAGCACCTTTTGCTCTGCACCTCCCATAGTTCTGAAGTCTACCCTGAGCACAATGCTCAGCTCCAATGACCCCCCAAAAAACCCCCCAGTACCCTTGCCATTTTGAACCTGTGAAAGGGATGAGGAACAGGTTACAGGCAGAACCCACTCCTGCAATATTAAAGCTACTAAAACAGCAGAGATACAGACCTGCTCCTAGGCAGGAGCAATTTGGAGATGACACAAAGGCTGGTGGTGTGAGACAGACAGGGAAATGGGGACAGATTCTATATTTTAAGTATCATTTTCTAAAATATCTGTAAGAGGAAAGGACCCACTGTACTTTCAGGCATAGCTGGTGCAATGTAAATAGGTTCCCAAACCTTCAGTGTCTTTTGTTCTTTAGATGGCTTGGCAGAGCACTCTGAATCCGTGTGTTTAACTGGGACTGGGTCTGTAAATAAGTGCTCCCTGTTGCTAAGGTTCAAGTGACATTTTTAGTGCCATTTGACAGATTTTTAACCTGCTTTCAAGTCTTCTACTGAGCTCCTCTATACCCAGGCAGTGAAAATGTAAAAGACTTGGCTTTACTCAAACTAGTGCTAAAAACATTTGGATTCACAGGTTGGACACAGTCCTGCCAGACTTGTCTGACGAAGCTTAACTGGTGCTGCTGATGGCAAAGCCATACCTGACCTGTGTTTGTACCTAGAAGTGATTATCTGGGAATTTGGGAAGAAAAACCCACCCAAAACCAGAAAGGAAAGCAGAGACTCAGCCTGATCTGCAGGCAGGGTGGGACTGCATCCTGCCTAAGCTGCTCCCTGATGGGAGATGTTGTTCTGCAAGAGACAAAGTCCTGCTCTTTACTCCCCTCAATATTTTGTGCTCCTTATATTTCCACTAGAATCCCAAAGAGGTTTCTTTTGTCCCAAAGGCTGTTTGCTTTTGACCACTCAGAACTTGTGATACTTGTCTTGATCTATTAACCAGGTGTCCAGCCAAAATCAATTGCCCAGCAGACGCAGACCATTACCCGAAAAGTCAAGACCTCCATAAATATCACCGGCCTCATTGTGCTGGTGACAGATTCTGCAGGTTGTTTTATGTTACAGTTGAACAGTTTAGACATTGCATTTGTATATATTTGCAGGCAGCCCTGAGGGAGCATCTCGTGAGCAGAGTGGGAGCTGGCAGCCTGCAGACTCCAGACACCTCCACCATGAGCACGGCGGGGCTTGTGGTGCTCCTCTCCTTCGCGCTTTGCTGCGTCCCAGGTGAGTGACTCTCCCGGTGTCTGAGTCAAAAAGATTAAGACAAAAGGATAAGACAGAGGATTCAAAGAGAGAAAATCTCCTTCCGAGGGCTCTGCTGCCTCGGTTGGCATCGTGCAGGTTGTAGGAGTGTATTTCAGCATAGTCCTCAATGGCTCGCTGCTGTAGCTGAATGTTTGTCATAAATATAAGTAACAGCAAGTGGAGTTGTGTGCTGGCAACTGGTGCTGTTACACTTTGTACACTGATGTTCTCACACCATTACACTGCTTAGACTTGTACAATTACAGCAAAATGGATGAATACTTGAAATAAGGCCATGAGAAGGGGGTCAGACCTCCAGTAACTAGTAAGGAAAATATTGTAATGGCACAAGCAAGTTCTCTGCAGGACCCTGGCAAATTTCCTGTAATGCTCTTTCTGCTAATGGAACAGCAAGAGATGAAAACAAGCCAGACTCTGATGTTCTCACTGCATAGTCACAACTGATGAAATTACAAAGCCAAAGACATTTTTTTCACATTCGCTTTCTTTCAAATGCATATTTCTGTCAACAGATGTTGTATGTATTTGCTTATCCTGTAGGTGACTATTTGCATTTGTCTCTGTTGATTCAGGTGTATTTTCAAATACACAACAGCAGTGCTTTAGGGTCAAAACGGATATGTAAAAAGATAACGAAGGAAAAGCTCTTCTGTTTTCAATTAATAAATCTACATGTCTAACAACAAAAAAAGAACAAAGCTATTCAAAAAGGTGTTTCATCACAGCCAGCAATAAGAAATGCTATTGTACTTATCAACATAAAGAAAAAGAATCATACATAGTTTATTTAGTTCAGAAAACAATCACTGGAAATCATTCAGCTTGGTTCTGCACACAGGAATTTTATATCCATATTTCCAGCTTCAATTGAGGTCTTATCATAGTGGCTTTTGTTCATTCTTTCTGCCTCTCTTTTCTTTTCCAGATACTGCCTTTGGGGTTGAGGTAAGTGGAAGATTTCTTTCTGTCACCTTTCTCGAGCATGTGGCCTGATAATGACATAACCAAAGGAATGAGAAAAACCTCCAGCCTGCAGGTGCTCAGCTGTTTTTCACCTAAGTGTGACACTTGGGTCACTGTAATCAGGTTCTACAGTGTAAAACATTAAATTATACTGCCCTTGGCTGTTGTATGTTAATAATGTTTTAGTGGTAATGATACAATGTTTTTGGATTAATTGATTTTTCAGCAACTTTAGACTGGTCTAAGCTTTAAGCTGGAAAAATATAGCTGGTTCTAAACTGAAGCAATAGACTGGTATCAGAACCCACCTGAGGGCAACCTACTGAAAGACTAAAGTACTCTGAGCTGATCCAGCTTCTTCACAGGTCATTAGTCTTGGTCCTCTGAAATAAAACATGATCATTGTATTGAAAATGAAAAAGTAAAACCAGAAGTACAGTAGAGAGGCCACAAGAATAGAAGAACTAGGAACCAATGGAGAGCCTTTATGAAATCATGTCAAGTGAGCATGAGAGACCAGCACTGGTTTATCCCAACCAATGGGATGCATGGGTTTAGCTCTTCCCTCCTCCTCCTCTTCTCCTGCTCTGTGGGATCATCTCTGCAGGATGGAGCTGATGGACCCACGGCAGAAGTTTGTGCTGTGGCAGTGAGGACTGGATGTACCAGCTCAGTGTCCCCCACAAGATGAGACCTGTGAACGCCACAGGTCTTCTGAGCCTGTTGCTGTGATTCCTCTGGCAGGTGGACTGCAGCACATATCCCAACACCACAAATGAGGAGGGCAGAGAGGTGCTGGTCTGCAGCACGGCCGTCAGCTCCATCTGCGGTTCCGACGGCGTCACCTACGGCAACGAGTGCCAGCTCTGTGCCTACAACGCGTATGTTCTGTGTGGGGACGGCGTGGGGACAGTGTGGGGACCCCAGGCAGCACAGCTAGAGCTCCTGGCAGCACCATGGCTCACCAATCAGTGCTCTGTCCCCTGTCAATTCCTTCAAAATGAGCTTGGCTATCACGGCACAGCGCTCAGGCAGAGCTTCAGTCACTGTGTCTTTCTTTTGCTTCTGTAATTTATTCAGGTTTCTTCTTTTCTGTCTCGAGGAGTGGTCAGGTGATGGCTTTGAGAGCATATCTCATCACAGCAAAAGAATGGAGATGCTCTGCTCAAGGCTGCCCAAAATGGTCCTAAAGCTTCCCAGGGTTTTACATCCCTGCCAGCTACTCAACTGGTCAGGGAGAGTGGCACTACCTTCTCAAATATAAAAGAAGCCTGACCAAGAAAGAGTCAGCTTTCTCTTGTATTAATTCTAGGATGTAGCAAGACATCTTTGCTGAATTTCCTAACATTTGTCTTTCCCTCTGCAGAGAATATGGAACCAATGTCAGCAAAGACCACGATGGAGAATGCAAGGAAGTTGCCCCTGTAAGTTAAACCAAGGGCAAAACAAAGGGTATGTCCTGCTTCTGAGTGGCCAAAGGTGCTTATTGAAATAATTCAAACCCCAAACAAGAGTACAGATGAGATGCCAGAATCTTGCACTTGTCTCCTCCAAGTGAACTGTTATCATAGTGACTGACAGAAAAGCTTTTCTCCTGCCGTGGTGGTGTCCTGTGTGGCCAGGCAGATGCACTCACCAGACCTACTTGTGTGCTGTAAGCAAGGCCTTCACCAGGGACCTGTTTGTTCCCTCACCAGGTGGATTGCAGCAGGTACCCCAACACAACCAGTGAGGAGGGCAAAGTGGTGCTGCTCTGCAACAAAGACATCAGCCCTGTCTGCGGGACCGACTGGGTCACCTACGACAACGAGTGCCTGCTCTGCGCCCGGAGCCTGTGAGTACTGAGCACAGCAACAGGGCCTGGTGCTCCTGGACCTGCTCTTTAGGATAGCAGGACTTCCTCCAAGGCCTTTTTTGTGAGGTGCTTAGACTTTGACCCTCCTCAAGACGGAGCCTTTCAAAATCCTGACTAAACCTTCTTTTCCTCTGTGATTAGGAGGCAAGCTCTGCCTTTGGTCTAGACAGAGAAGTAGAGGGCTGGCTGGGAGTCTCACCCAGGACAGGATGGTTCTCTTAACTAAGTTAAAAGGGTCTCTGTGGCAGATGCTGCCTTGCAGAGGACAACAATTAACCCAGGGGGCATTGAGATTATCACACAGCCTCTCTCCTCATCCACCCTGAGCCCTGTCCCTCACATCTTGCTATAAACCAGCTCTCTGGCAGGCAGTGATGCCACCTGAACTGGTCCCTGGAGCTACATGGGCACTGCCTAAGCTGGATGCCTCCTGTATCCCATACATTGTGCCTGAGGCTGCTCAGAATTCCTGTGTGATAGGGGTTCAGCACAGCTCCCTAATGCAGCTCTCTTCCCTTCCCAGAGAGGCTGGAAGCAGTGTTGCCAAGAAGGCTGATGGTGAATGCAAGAAGGAAACTGTCACAGTAAGTGAATTGGGTGATCAGGGGCTGGGTTTTGGTCCTGCTGCTGTCAGGAAAAACACTGCCAGTGTCTGCAGCAGCCCCCAGACCAGCAGTGTCCTGCAGAAGTGAAACAGCTGCTGTGCTGCAGAACGAGATTTGCTTTCTCTACACGTAATAAACGTTACTCGTGTGAATGCCAGGAAAGGAGCAGGTGACTGCTCAGGAAGGAACGAGTAAAAGGATAGAAGAAATAATCCATCAGGGCAGAAGTGTGGATAAGAACAGAGAATGGCTTTTGTGGTCAGCCCAATGGTCCTTCTAGCCCGTGGCAACTTGGTGCAGGGGCTGTGAGCATTGTGTAGGACAGAGTGAGAGTGCAGAATGTAAAGAGTGATTTCTACCCTAGGTGTGATTCCTGTGTAGTCAGTAAGCCTTGAGAGATTTCTCCTCCATGAAATTCCTCAGCCTCTTCCTGCACCCAGACACATTTTTATCTCCACAATGCTCCTCAGCAGGTGTAGCACCCATTTCTCCAGGAAACAGAATCCCACTCCTGCAGTATCCAGCTACATGCTGATCTGCCAGTTTTAAGACTCCAGGAGGGACCTTTACAGAGGATCAGCACTCCATTTCTCCAGACACCAGTGTTTTTCCATTTAATTTCCTGGCCAGCTTGGGAACACAGAGCAAGGCACCTTCACCGAGTGAACTGCTGCTGCTTGGAAATGCTGTGACCAGGTTATGATATACATCTCTTCAAACAGGAAATTATGATCTATTTTTATATTATTAAATTCTCCTGGCATAGGAGAAACTGACACCTTTGTTTATATCAGATGTGCAAGGAAGTTAATTACTTTTAGTAAGATTGGTATCACCAGCACTACAGCTCTAGCTCAGGGTTCAAACCCTTGTGTTACTGACTCCTTCACATCAGACTCTTTGATTTTTATTTATTTTTTACAGGTTGACTGCAGTGACCATCCCAAACCTGTCTGCTCACTTGCCTACATGCCTCTCTGTGGCTCTGACAACACAACATACAACAATAAGTGCGCCTTCTGCAACGCAGTCATGTATGTACAAATATGAGTGATGTTTTGTGTTATCAGTTGCCCCCTGTGGGCACAAGTTTGCACAGTTACTGCTTTTTTGTTTGCTAGATAATGTTGATTAGGGATTTGGGGCAGGAGGGAATGCCAGCCACCGTGTCAAGCATTCATTTCTTTTTTTCATTAGAGCATAAAAAAAGCTACGGCTGCTTTGTTAGTGTGAATGGTTTGAAGACCATTTAATCTTAATGGAATTTTTCTTGCATGTTGCAAAGGAAATGAAATTCCTTTCCTATTGAAATTCCACTATAGTTTCCCCACAGATATTTTTAGTCTTAGGAATGGGGTAAATTGTTTCACTCATGTCTTAATAATCCAATAGCAAATGGGATTATGGGTCTGCTAGTTCCTTGGCTCTGGGGCAGGATCCCATCTGACACCATCTCTAGGAGCCATCAAAAAGACAGATTATAGCAGGCAGGACTCTGTGTTTAATTCATTCTTTCCCCTCCTTGCTTTCAGGGACAGCAATGGGACTATCACTTTAAACCATTTTGGGAAATGCTGAGTATCAGTGCCAAGAGAATTCACCACAGGGTCCCCACTGGAAAATCCCAGATAAAGATGTCACCTCAGTTCATCTCACCCCCTGGGGAACTCAGCTCACTCCCGATTTTCTTTCTCAATAAACTAAATCAGCAACATTTCCCTGTCTTCTTTCATGTGTTGTCTCATGAAACATTGTCACGATTTGTTGAATGATGATACCGGGCAGAATAAGTTACGTGCCCAAAGCTCTGGGACAGAACAAGAACAACATCTTGCTCCCCTCCCTCTCATAAAAGTCAGAAAATGAAATACAGATGCTCAAAGCCCAGAGCTGTGTGTCTTTGCACATAAATGAGGCGTCCCTGCGTTAGTGCTCAGCCCCTTTCATGCTGGACATTGGAAAGGGCTGAAGGGGTGGCACAGGAGGGTCTCTCCTAAGGTGTTCCTGGTGCATTTTCCTTGTCAGTAAAACCCAGTCACACCTTGGTGTCACTGCCCAGAGCTGATCCCTGGTCCTCACCTGAAGTGTTGCTCTCTCAAGGACGCTCTGTTGGCAAAGCCCATATTTCTCAGACATGTGCATTGTTTCTGTCCATTTGTCTAAGTCCTCCAACTGACTTATTACCAGATTCTTCTCATCTTGGAGCCGTCCTTTAACACCCTTCAAGTGTTTTGAGATTAATGCCTTCCTAGGTGTGGTGCCTACTCCTGCCTACTTGTCTTCTCTCAGTCTTCAATTACACAATGTTCTTTGCCAGCCCAAGGAGTATTTCAGCAGTGTTTCAAAACCCAAGGACAAAGTTTCCTTCTGTTTCTTGAGAGTGTGACCTGTCATTGGCGTATTGTGCATGAAATTTATTTTGCTTTTGTCTTCTGTTTGAGTATTGAATTGGGTTTTGGTTTTTTTCTTTTTGGATCCACACAAGAGAGGCATAAATAAATTGGGCTTATCCCTTCTAAAAAGTAATATCTCCCACATGCATTTCTTCTGGGAATCAAAATGAGAGGGGTGCTTGTTCTCCTTGATGGAGATTGCCCCAAAAAGCAATGCTTTGGTGGTAAAACAAAGGATTTATGTAGAGATGGGCAGATGGATGAAGTAGTGATTTCCAGATTGGGTTCAGCTTTTCTAGGATCCATGCTGTGGTCTCAAATCATTCTGTCATCATCATACTAAAAGTCTATTACTGCAAAGCTAATGGCTTTTAGGGGGAACAACAATTGTAAATTTTTTTTTTTTGCATGGTCTCATAAAAGTTTCTCCATCCCTTGTCATTTCTTAGGACTCCCTTCAGTGTCTGGGACACTCTTGCTTGCCTTCCTGGTTCATTGTTTTCCTGCTTTCACTATAACTTAGTGATGTTTTACTTGGGTGAAGCACAAAAATAAAAGGAGAGGTTTTCTGCTACAGAAGTATTTCATTCAATGTTTTTCTTGAGAAAAAGCACTGCACAAAAATAGGCAGTGATAGGTGAACACAGAGAAAATCTGACAGCACTTTGTACAGTGGCTCTTTTGCCTGCAGGAATTCTCTGTGGTCCTTCAGAAGGAAACTGTCACATATTTCACTTAAAATAACGACGCAGAGGGTGTATCTCACACATCTCAACTTCTCGTGACTCCCGTTGATGAAGAAACACCATTCTTGGCTTACAGAACAGCTTACCTCTACTGATATTAGCACTGAGACAAAAGGCTGGAAATGTTGCTCCAGGATAAGGGTGGATAAGGCAAATATGAACATGCACAAACACACACACACCCCCAGTGGTGCAGGCGTACATATAAGCGTGGTTGCCACCTGAGGACAGAATCCAGGCTGTGGTTCCTGAGCAAAAGCCAAGCTCTGCTGCTCACAGCTCATCCAGCCACCATGAAGATCACGGGGGTGCTGCTTCTGTTCTCTCTGGCCCTTTTCTGCATCTCAGGTGAGTGGCTCCACTGCCTCCTGCTCCGCCTTGGAGTAAGCGCTGGCTGTCTTCAAAACCACAAAAAAACATCCTCAGACTGGAAAGAGCTCCATTCTGCAAGGACTTATTTACTCCTAGAAAGATAGTGTTGAAAAGACTTGACATCAGAGACTATCACTTATGGGGTAATATTTTAGCAACAGAACTGAGTGGGTAAGAACAACTGTGGGAACAGCTCTACTCTCAGTGCTAGTTTATGCATAATGAAAGAAGTGACATGTACGTGGTGCAACCCGGAGACTCAGACAACCAGTATTTAACCTCTGAAATGTTGCAGGAACACAAATAATTTTACTGAATGAAAGTGAACATTTCTTGTAGTCACCCTGAACCGAGGTGCAGTTTGAGAGCCTGAACTGCTGTAGAAGCTTTGTAAATTCACCTCTCACTAAATACTATTCTTATTTTAAAATAATATTGGCAATGCATATAAGATGCTTTCTCCGTGTACTTGTCTGCTTTATGTCCCTGTTTGCCTCAATAATTTGCTTTGCTTTGAGCTCATGTCCTGTTCCATCCTTTGAACCATAGAAAATGCCTTTCTCTTCTTTTATTTTACACAGCTTTTCCCATTTTGACTGTAACTCTTATTAAAAAAAATGCTACAGAATCAACATACAGTATGGCACAACATTTTGCCTGAAATTCCTTTTGTCTAAGAATAATTTGCTAACACACAGGGAGTTGGAGGATATGTATTCAGGGCATGCGTTCTCAGATTTTAACAGAATCCATGAATTGCATTTGTAACATATTTCGTTTGTTCTTTTTTTTTTTTTTTTTTTTTTTTTTTTTTTTTTTTTTTTTTTTTTTTTTAGTTCCAGCTATTTTTGCTCTGCAGGTAAGGGACAAATTTTTCTATTCTCCATCTTTTCTTTCCTTAAAGCAGTTTCTGTATAAATCTTTACTAATCACATCACGACGGAGCCTTTCGAAATCCTGAGGCACCCAGCTGCCTGAGCAATATTTGCCACAGATATTATCGGGTGAAATTGCCATTTTCATCTGGTGACAGTTTCAACAAGCAGGGCAGTATTCAGTTCATGTCCAAGTTGTTGTCAAAGTTGCTGCAGCATCCTTTGCAGTGGTTACAGAGGCTCTGCATGGCTGGAGGCAGCACTCCCCTGCATCCTCCCTGTCCCTGGGCTCTTCCTCAGCCTCTGCTCCTGGGCAGTTAGGGGGCAGATCAAGGGGTGTGTGAGGCCTCCTAATGTCACCTTTCTCGCCCAGCTTTGGTTGACAGCTCTTTTTTTTTGTGAATACAGGCTGCATCCGTCTACTGCAGGGACCAGAAGGGTCTCAGGGATATGTGTTCCATGGAGTATGTCCCCCACTGCGGGTCTGATGGTGTCACCTACCCCAACAAATGCACGTTCTGCAATGCCTTCCTGTACGTATGGAATAAATCTCTTCACCTACTATGTGGTGAATTAACTTAGCTTAAACTGGCTAATCAGTCTTGGAGACAGGTTGGAGAAGTAAAATTCTTTTATTTCATTTGTTTTTTCTCTCACCAGCAAGGGTAATTTTTTTTTTTTATTGGGAGAGCCTGCTAGGAACTTCTTTCTTTCAGATGTAAAGAGACAATGGAGTGTTCTCTGTTTTCCTCTTAAGTGATTTGCAAAAGAGCTTTCTCTCAGCAAACAAAGCCTGTTTCCTACAGACTATTTAGTCTTTCGAAATAAGAAATTTTCTTGTCAATAATAAAAGTAAATATGTGGAAGAGAGTTCATAAGTCCCTCTGTGGTGCAGAGGGACAGACCAACAAATGTTCTGTCTCTGAGGTACTGATTTCTTTCTCTGCAGGAGAAGCCGTGGAGGTCTTGGCTTGAGATCTCTTAATGCATGTTAAGTTCTCGACTGGATTCAGCTGAGAAAGAACACCCCTCCCTGGCAATGCTCCCCATGGCAGATGACTTCCTAAACCCTCGACCTGACCCTTGAAAACCTCCTATCAATCGTGAAACCTCTGATAATAAAAAAAAAGACCCAGCATTTATGTCATCCTTTAGTCTCATTTTTGGTTTTACCTAATATGTTGCATGATTATACCACTGCCACAACCCTGGGGTGTGGGAATTAATGGGCAAATTGCAGGGTGAGGGAGAATGGTGTTCTGAGCTACAAAAATATCAAGCCCAACCACAAAAGCAAAATGGGCAGCTTTTGTGGGCTGACTTCATCTGACTTTCCAAAAGAAAGCCCAGGCTGGAGATGCAGCCTGGTGCTCCTGCCCATTTACTGCTCTGAGGGGATCTGAATCGCTCTCTGCCTGGCTGAGAGGAGCTGCCTCCCTCCCCAGGTGCTGCTAACAAACACCTGCAGCCTCGCCCAGCCTCACTCTGTGGCCTGGCAGCACGAAGGGGCCCCGGGCAAACCTGAACATTAACATCATTAGAGCCAGTCCCCAGACTTGTAATTGAGGTGTTCTGGCATTGTTCTGTCACACAGAAGGGGTCTTGCTGGCACAGTGAGCTGCTCACCCCTGTTTCAGTTTCCAGGGTTATCCCCAATTTCTTACACCTGCAAGAGAATATGTGAGGGAGGTCACGTTCCAAGCTGCCTGCACCTCGCAAGCAGGATTGAAAACCCACCTCCAGGTGAGAGGAGGCCTTTTGCAATCTGCTTTGCTCCCCAGAGCAATGTGCCAGGGTGTTTTCTCTGGGCTGCCCGTGTTGGTTCATTGCTGAGGGGCATTGCAGGAAACCCGTGGGCAGGCAGTGCTAACAGAGCCGATGTCCAGGGGATGCTGGCAACCACTGCCACAGCCCATCCGGGCACCTCACCCATCACTTAGCTGCTGGTTGAAGGTAATTACCTTGACTGTTGCTTGTAGAGGATCCTTTGAGATTCTCCGGCCTCTGGAAATCTCGGCTGATGAAAGGAAAGGCTCAGAGTCACAGTGTTAATTTATTATTCATTAGCAGCGAGGCGCTGCCGTGCCCGTGCTGTAGAGGCAGCAGTCTCACAGTCAAATAGTTAATGATCTTAAGTGACAATGTGTCACTTCCTAGAGACTGCGGAGAGAAGCTCTCTAAAAGGAGACTATTTATTTCCAAAAGACATGACTCTCTGCAGCCATTTAGTGCCAAGTCCCTTCCTGGGGCTGGAGTGTCCCTCCGGTGAGGGGGAGGTCTGTGTGTGGGATGGCTTTTCAGTGTCTGATGCCATTTCTGGGGACCAGGATAAATTGAGGCTCTGGGGGGCAGTGCTGGGGGTGTGGGGCACATTCAGTCTCCTTCTTCTCCCTCTCTGCTGAGTGTGGGAGCCAGGGTAGGAGAGCACCAGCTGCAGCAGTTATTTTTTTTCCTTGAGCAGCAGCAGGGAGGATGAGGATGGCCCTCAGGAGCCGCGATGCCTTGGAGACAAGCAGAGCTCCTGATCATGCTGGAGATCCCAGTGATGCTCAGAGGGACTCTTGACAGGGGCATGTCTGCCAATCAGGAAAATCCAGCAGGCAATTAGGGGGAAATTGTGAGTAGAAATGATAAATCCTCTGTGGTTGCTCAGGAGTGACCAAGGGCAGAACAGAACTCCAGTAGAATCCCCAGTCTCTTGCCCCAGCAGCTCATCCTGGATGCTCCTTAGGATGGAGAGGAAGAGAATTCTCCTTTATGAGCACCTCGTTGGAAATAATTTTTTTTATTGCTTCTCAATAAAATCCTGCCACAGCAGCACAAATCCTCTCACCATTACTAATCTAACTCTCCCTCCAGGAAATTCAAGGTAGGAAACATTGTCTGCCTGCCAAGGTATTTTATGGTACAATTCTTTGAGCAGTACCTCAGCACTTTATGTCATTATCTGATGTTTTGGATTCAGGAAATGCCATTCAATTACCCCACAACCTGATTAACATATTGCATGTACTTATTCTGTTTTCTTTATTTTATATTGTTCCTTCTATTTTTGTGCATTGTTCAACTTGTTGCTGGCCAAAATATACCTCAGGCCAGTCTAGACCTTTCTGTTAATGCAATTTCTCTCTGTGGCTTCATTCAGGAGAAATGGTTTGTTACTGCATTCTTTCTTGATGTGGAGAAAAATAAAATTATGTTTGAAAAGTGAATTAATTGTGGGTGTCTTGGGAGGCTGGCTGTATCAGAGCTATTGCAGCGAGGCAGAGCTGAGATTCACTGAGGGATTGGGATCCTCAGCCTTATGCTGTTAGCATGCAGCTTCCAGACAGTCAAATTATTCCAGACACCCTTGCCTGTGACATCATCTATGCTTAAAAGACTGGGGATATTCAGGCAGCAATCAGATAGCTGAACTACGAGGAGAAATAATAGGTGAGTGCGGCTTAGAGCAGGGGCTCTGCCGGCTGTAAATTGAATTTCTGCTCGGATAGAAGATCCAGCTCTGCCCCCGTGTGCAGAGGTGCGGGAACAGCAGCTGGCCGGGAGCGGCTGCGCCCATCCCCGCCCGGCGCTCGCTCCTCCTGCCCCGCTGCGGCGGGGCCCCTTTGTTCTCCCACCCGTGACAACATCTTGCGTGCACACATCCACCCCGTATTTAGTAATAATAATAATAATAATAATAAAGACAGCAGCCAAAAGACTATGGCAAGTTTTAAACCAAAGCAGGGAGCATCATCTGTGAAGAATTTTTTAGGTTGTGGTAGGTTATGGATTTACTTGAGGTAGGAAGTCTCAAGACCAGAGGAAAATCTTCCTCACTGCTATGGGAAAAAATACTGCTGGAGTAGAAACTCAGAGTTATTGGAAATTTACCTTAATACAAGAGGACCCGTCATATGATGGCCAATATTTATCCCATTCATGAGGCCATAACCTTCCTGAATGTTTGCCCTCTAGGAGTCTGAAATAGAAGGAAGCATTTTATTTAAGGGTTTTATTTAAGCTTCTATATGGATCTTGTATCTGTAGTAACATTAAAACAATCCCAAAGTCACTTTACTGAGCCCTCCATCGTATTTCTGAACCTCAGAATCACAGGATAGTTTGGGTTGGAAGTGATCTCTGGAGATCATCTAGTCCAAACCCACACCAAAGCAGGGACACCTGGAGCAGGTGACACAGGAACATGTCCAAGTGGGTTTAGGATGACTCCAGACAGAGACTCCATGACCTCCCTGGGCAGCTGTCCCAGTGCTCTGCAACTCTCAGTGGAAAGAAGTTTCTCCTCCTGTTGAGGTGGAACTTGTTGTGTTTTAGTTCATGGGCACTGCTCCTTGTCCTGTCACTGGGCACCTCTGAGAACAGCCTGGCACCATCACACACATCCCAGGGGGTTGGGCAGGTGGCTTCACTTTGCCCTTCCCATTTGCAGCAGGTGTTTGCCACTTTCCAAGGCTCACTGTTTGTGAGTACTGCTGTTTTTCACTGCTCCTCGTGCCTGTTTTCAGTCCATCCACTCTCCTGTGATTACTGCTGTCCCATTCCCTCTGTTTCCTCTTAATGGGGCTCCTTGTGCAATCCCCTGTCACACCTGTGCCAGCAGCTCTCCTGCCCTGCCCTGGACACTGCTTTGTCTCCCATCCCTTCTCTCAGACCCTGTAGCAAGGCTCTTTCCTCGTTTCTCTTTTCCTCCCTGCTGCCTTGGGAAGTGGCAGGGGCTGCTGAAGGAGAAGAGCTTTTTGGATGGCCACCAACACCCTCAGGGGCAGCACATGGGGCAGAGAGGATCTCCCAGCGGATCTCACTAATGAAAGAGCAGGTGCTGGCCCAACATCAGTGATGCCATCCCTGGCAGACACTGCCAGGCACAGCAGCTCCTGCTGGCCTCAGCCTGGCAGGAAACACAACAGGAGAAGCAGCACAGCTCCTGCTAATGGGGATCTCAAATCTGGAGGTGGGTATGAGGCTGTTTGGGTCACAGGGCTGGAGAAGAGACAGACTCTGCTCCTGGAGCCCCCCCAGCCATGGGGCTGGCAAGCAGCACCTCCACTAGTGGCTGGTGCAAGTTCTGAGGAAGCTTTGTTTTCAGACTTTGGCATTCCTGCCCCTGGAGATTAATCAATATTAATGCTTCCGTGACTACCGCTTCCTTTCCAAATGTGCTCACAATCAGTACAAGGAATCTGAAAGTCAACTTGCTCAGGATGCTAAGAATGCGACAGAAACAACTTTCAAAGGAACCCTTCAACTTGTGATATTTGTGAAAGAGATCCAAATAGCATTATTCATTTATTTTTCAGGAAAATGATTTCATTGATACAAACAGACCAAATCCCACAAGCTCCATTCTGTGACTACTGTTCCCTTACACTTTCAGCTACGTTTTTATGATTTATCTGCTCATGCCAAGTGTTGAACATCTCCCAGGATAATAAGAAAACCAATTCTGATTTTCTATTTAAAACTCAGGCTGCCTTTAAGCCACATGTATGAATTAAGCTTCTTCTGAAGCACAAAAAAGTTCCATCCGTCACTTCCTTCCGTGACTACCTTAAATCAAAAATTTATTATTTTATGCAATATCCCCTATTTGTTTTTCCATACACTTGCGATAGAGTCGAGCCACTTAGCAGAGCCTAGCACATTATTTATCACTTATCTTCCCTAAAACACAACTCTCAGCTGACACTCAAAATTTAATGCCATATAATTGAGGGAGAAGGGGGAAGCCTAAGGGCTCTCTTTCTGTTTGCAGTTACTGGAATTTTTTCTGGAATGCCTTTAGTATTGACAAGCCCATTTCACCTGCACAGAATACCAGTTGCTTGCCATTAATAGGAAACATTATCCCAGTACAGATTTGAAGCTACTTATTCTCGTAATTTCTTAATCAGACTCATGCTCATTGCCAAGAGATGAATAACTCTTGCTCCTACACAGAAATGTCTAATAAACTTCTGGGGGTTTTTGTGGTGCTTTTCTCTCATGATGAGTTTCTGTGGGTGAGAAATCCAGTGTACCAGGAAATTACAGAAGAGAATGTGGAGAGATTCACTGAGACTTCAGCATCTTTAAAGTGCACTGATGCTTTCCAGACCCCAGATATGATGTCAGTAAAACCTTAGAGTGTCCCAT